CTCCCTCTCCCTCTCCCTCTCCCTCTCTCTCTCTCTCTCTCTCTCTCTCTCTCTCTGTGTGTGTGTGTGTAGATAGGTGCTGTGGGATGTCTTTCTGTACTCTGTGAATATGTGTCGCTCTGATTGGTTGATAAATAAAGCTGTTTGGCCAATGGTGAGGCAGAATAAAGTTAGGCGGGACATTCCAACTAGAGAGAGAGAAGATGAAAGCCTCTGAGTCTTCATCCAAAAGGGTCTTAGATGAACTGCTTTAGCTCCTGTTTCCTCACACCTTATATACCTTTCTCTGCCCTGCTGTCACTTCCTGGAATTAAATATATATATTGGCTATAATAATGGCATTTTAAAATTTTAGAATATTTTAATGGACAATTACTTACTTTTACCAGAAAGCAACAACATTATTTCTGGTAATGAGCCACCCCCAACCCTGAATTAGAAACTTTCTCAAATTTGTTTCAGTGACTATTTCTACTATTTTGTACAGGTAGAAGAAGTCATGCACACACACATATGTTGCAGAATTGGAATTGTGTTTTATGACATCTTTGTTTTTTTTTCCCCCTACTTGTCTATGGGTGAGCCCTTCTACCATAGTTAGTGTCTTTTAAACACCCACTTTGGGGTGTGCATGCTTATGTGCACACTTACGTGAACATGAGGAGGCCAGGGGACCGCCACTTGTATCATGGGTTAAAAGCCTGTGTCAGCATACCTGGCTCTTTTAGGTGGATTCTATGGATCAACATCAGGTTCTTATATGGTAAGCACTTTACTGACTGAACCCCAGTCTCTTATACACCCTTTTAATAAAAGCATATGTTCTAGGATTTAGTCTGTCAGTCAAATCAGGTTCCTGTTATTAACTTTTAGGTTCATTTCAAGGTTTTGTTATTTTAGCAATGCTGATATCAATACCAAGATCTCCTCTGATCATATACTCAATGATGGAATCAAGAGTTTTATGTATAGCAAAATGCATTTTAAACATCCCATTTTCATATATCTTCTTATTGTTTTTCCTCACCAGAAGCAAAACTGATATATCTCAGGGTTCTCTTTCGTCCTGGGTCCATTCTCTTTCACTGGCTCTCAGACTTCACTGCATGTATGAGTCACCTCTTGTATAAGTTTCAGTCTGGGTCTCAGAGGTAGCTGTTTGGATCTGTCAGTTCTGGGGTGGAATTTGGAAATCTGCCACTTTCTACACTCCTCTAGAGAGCCACCAATGCACATTTGGAGCCACAGATGAGAAATGCTTTTAAATACACTCAGAGAATCCAGATCACTCACCTGTAAACAGTCACACACTTGGTAAGAAGTTGAACTATCACTTTGAGATATCAGAGGCCTGTTCCCCCCCCCCCCGCCCCAAATTATCTTAGAGCTTCTCAGCTCTTAGGGTCATGGGTAGACCTGACCTGTAATGACTGCAGAAGGTGAACTTTTAAAAAAATTTTTTTAATTTGTTCTTTAATACAAGACATCCCTACCAAAGTTTCCCCTCTTCCTCTCCTCCCAGTTCTTCCCTATCTCCCCTCTCCCCTAAATCAACTCCTCCTGTTTCTCTTAAAAAACAACCCCCCCCCCCAAAAAAAAACAAACAAACAAACCCAAACAGGCCTCCCGAGGATATCCACCCAACATGGCCTAACAAGTTACAATAAGACTGGGCATAAACCCTCATATCACAGCTGGACATGCAACCCAGTAGGAGGAAAAGGGCCCCAAGTGCAGGGAAAAGAGTCATCCCCCCACTCCCATTGTTAAGAGTCCCGATAACACCAAGCTACACAACCGTAAGGTATATGCAGAGGTCCTGGCTCAGACCCATACAGGGTCCATACTTGTCACTTCAGTTTCTGTGAGCCCTGCCTAGTTTATTCTGTGGCCCATGTTCTCCTACAATCAGAAGGTGAACATCTACTGACCCAACTGCAGAGTTCTCAGAGAGCTGGAAATGGCATAGAAAGACAGACTCAGTGAGCCTCTACTGAAAACTCCCAGCAGAAATTCTTGTGACTTCTGCAAACGTATATTACATAAAACACCTTTCAGTCATTTGCTAGTTGGGTTTGCTTCATGTTTCCTGGCAACTTTGGTTATAAAATGGGTGTTGTGGAGCCACATGCATGCCCTTGACGGGGGTAGTGGATCCTTGCCCCTTCCTCTTTCTCTTTTTGGCTCCAAGGTAAGAGCTTGTGCTTCCTACAGGCCGCCTATCATGATAGGTTGCCTCACCACAGCCCATAAACAACGAGGCCAATCGACCATGGGCTGAACCAGGTCAAACTGTGAGCCCAAATAGTTCTTTTCTCAGCCCATTATCTCAAGACTGTGCACTCTCGGACAGAAAGTTAGGAGCCGCTCCCACAGTACAGCTTGGGTTCCCAGAAGGGGTGAGCTGGGTGGTAGAGGGAAGTGGTGAGTGTGATCCAGAGCTGCTTTAGAAAGGAAAATGGAAGGGTGCTAAGGTGAGCCTTTTCGATTGTTAAACTTCTAAGATGATACTTTGTATCTGTTTAATACCTTTTCTTCCTCCTTAATCTCTGTTTTCCACATTTTCTCTCTCTTCCTCTCCCCCTCTCTCTTCCCCCTATTTCCTTCCCCCTCTCTCTCTTCCTCCTCTCTTCTTCCTCCCCTCTCTTCCCCCTCCCTCCTTAATCTCTGTCTCTCTGTCTCTCTCTGTCTCTGTCTCTTAAATATAGTCCCCCTTTCTTCAGTAGGCTTGAATTATGTCATATCCTTATTCATATAGTGTATCTTAGAAAGTTATGTGTTACGTTGATTTGAGGCATCAGGAATACACAGAGTTGGAATCTTTTTGAGAATTGAGTTAACTGGAGCTATACTCAGATTCTGACTTTATGATTTTTTTTGAACATTTTATAATACTTTAATTTTAGGTTGCTTAAAAGTTTTGAAAATGCTAGAGAACATTCATCTAGCTTCTTCTAATATAGTGACTCCTTTACAGAGCCATGAGACCTCTTATCAATACTATCTAGACTTCATTTCTCAATACTGTTGATGGCCTTTATTTGTCAATACAATATTAACAGGTTTTCAAGGTGGGCAGGCCTCACCTGGTGATGTGATAGCCTCTTTAAGATTATGTTAGTTCCTCTGTGAGGTTAGCACTTGACTGAGAATCTTTGCAGCTAAGCAGAGCACAAAACTGTTCATCCTCAAATTTCCTCCATTAATTTTAATGTCCATTGGTGAAACTGGCTGGAAGCAGTGATGGCTGTAGTATGATTTTTTTTTTATTCCTGGCTCCTAAATTGAAAATTTCCTGCAAGAAAGAGCTACCTTTTTGTCTCCTATCCCTTTCTTTTATTACATTACTTATATCAGTATACACTCATGGAAATTCATTGTATTCTGTGTGTTAAAATACAGGGCCACATTAAAAAAATATTATTAAGCATTTCCAGTGTGGAAGTTGAAATGACTTAAATTTTAACACTTGTTTATTTATTTAGTGAGTGTGTGCATTTGTGCAAATCACCTCTGCACATGTGTGGAGGTCAGAGGACAACTTGTGGGAGTGAGTTCTATCCTTCTACCATGTGAGTTCTAGAGATGAAATTCAGGCTGGCAACTTGGTGACAGGTGCCCTTATCTGAGAAGCCATCGTGCTGACTCCTATGTGGTAGTGGTTGTTATCCATTTCTATACCATTCTTACCTCAAAGGTGCCATAGGCATCAGGATAATGGTCACTCAGAAGCTCCCTAGGAGGTTAAAATTGAGACCTAAGGAAAGTGGGAAAATATGTACAGTAGTCAGTTCCTGGGAGCTCTGGTGGAGTACCAGTATCAGCTTTTCCTCTGCGCTGCCCCAGAGAGTCTCAAGCAGCAGAACCAAGTGTCCAGGGCTATGTGCCCACTCACACACCCTGTCTATGGTACATGTGGGTAGCCTCAGAGGTATTGAGATGCTGACGTTAGTGTTCATCAGCTGCTGAATGCCACCACATCCTTTCTGCCTGGTGCAATGAGAACACTTAGTGCATAAATGTGTGGTACCTACCATATCTGCCGTGGAGGCACGGAGAGGATGTATTGCTAAGAGATTTCCCGAGAATGGATGTTTATGCCATGTTGCTATTGGTTATAACTTCCTAATTAGATTATTTTTATTATTATGGAACGTTTAAAAAACACAGACATAGAAAGACAAGGGGCCCTTAGGTTAATATCACTTACCTAGCTCAATGTTTTACCAATCTTGTTTCATGTGTTACTATTCTTTGGAGTGAGGAGGGGCAAGCATATTTGAAAAACAAGTTGCAGACATTTAAGGTCTGGGAAAAGACTGAACTAAATAAAGGCAATACTTCCCTTTCTGGCCCGTGGATGTCTGAGCCTGTGCTTATAAGTGGCAGGTGCTCAGAGTGTAGTTGTTGTGTTGAGGGAAGAGAAAATAAAAACAAAGTCTAGGGCAGATTTCTAGAAGGGAAAGGTGGGTGAGGGTCGCCCTTAAATAGTTCCTTAATGTTGTCTGAATTTGCTTTCTGCAGATTGCTCTGTTATATCCCATATCAGTGTCTCGATTAAATATAAGAATGGCTCTGGGAAGAGGGAGAGTTTCACTGTTACTTAAAGAATAGGACAAATAAGCCCGACGTTGCCTTCCTGAGCACCATCCAGGAGTCACCGGCCCTAGAGAGAATTTCCTTTTGAAAAGCCACCCTGTTTTTAGTGATAAAAGTATTATATACTCACTAAAGAAACATGGACATTATTGTTAAAAGTATCTGTACTTCAGCAACGCTATGGTTATTATTTTGGCTAATATTCTGATAACACATGAGTCAGAGTGATAGACGGCAAGTGCTTGTAGCTCTGGGAATATATGGCAGGTGTTTGGGTGTGCCTTCTCATTAAATTCTTACAACTTCATTATGAAGTGAGTATGTTCCAACCTCCCAAGCTTTATATAAGCTAGGGAACTGTGGAGAGAGGTTGTCCCCAAGCCTCTGGTCACTTAGCTGACATGCAGAGAATGGGGTGGGAGATCCCTCTTGAGCACAGAGAGGTGTTTTAACCACTTCGTCTGTTCTTTTCCCCACAGAAACAAGTTTTAACCTTGAACTTTCTTCTGTATCATCAGTTTTATGGAAGACACTTAAGCTTATAAGGGGTAAGTGATTGTTTTTTTACCTGGGCCAGATTTAGTCTCAAGTGGGATTAGGAGTGGAGGACTAATGATTAAGCATTAGTCACACTCTTTGCTTTGAGGATAAGTGTCTTGTCTTTGAACAAATTCTATATATTGCAGTTCAGAAATATGAGTTTGTCATTATTCATAGCTCTTTAGTTCTCAGGTAGAATTCTTAAAAATATTTTTAAGGCTGGTGAGATGGCTAAGACTACCTATTTCTCTTTCAGAGGACTCACATTCAGTTCCTAGCACCCACATTGGGCAGCTCACAGCTGCCTGTAACTTCAGCTGCAGGGGACTTGATATTCTTTTCTGGTCTCTGTTGGCACCTGCACTCACACGCATATACCCATACACAGACATATACATGATTACAAATACAATCTTAAAAAATTATTTAGCACAATTTTAGATTCACAGAAAAAATTGAACAGAAGGTATGGAGTTTTCAGACCTCACTCCCACCCCCTGTAGTTATTTACTTATTTATTTACTTATTTTGGTTTTTTTTTGTTTTTTGTTTTTTTTTTTTGAGTCAGGGTTTCTCTGTGTAGTGCTGGCTGTCCTGAAATTTGCTCTGAGACTAGGCTGACCTCAAACTCACAGCGATCCTCCTGCCTCTGCCTCCCAAGAGCTGGGATTAAACGTGTGTGCTAGCACCACCTGGCTCGGCCAGGTTTTAAAATTAAGTCAAGCCTCCCCACATCCTGTAAATGAGAGAGCTACATATGTGTGTGTGTTTTTTAAATCTTTTCTGCTCCATACACTGCATTCATTTTGTGATCATAGGTTCCTTTAATTCAGTGAGAATTTCCATGCAGTGTTTCCATAACTAGCTTTTAGAAAAGCCGTGTTCAAAGGCCATATTTACAAAAGCCTTGTATAAAACACGATCACCAATCCCCACATTTAAGTTTCCCGAAAAGAAGTTCACCAGCCCACAAGGGGTTGTCTAGCTGGCCCAGAATCCTGATGGCTTCCTGCCAACTGAGAGGAAGAGAGCAGGCCTTGAACTAGTCCCAAGGATAGGGACCGGAAGATGTGGAGAGTGAGAGGGCCACGAGACGCACCTGGATGTTTCAGTTGCGTGCATTGAGCCTATCCAGGCATGAAGGAAAGAAATGAACTGTCCACATGAGGGGTGTGGCTGATGAACACAGGGGCTTACACCTAGTTCCCCTCTTTAACCAGCTGTGTGGTCCTGGGCAGGCTAACTGGCCTTTGTGAGCCGGTTTAGTGGGCCAGGGTGCTTGCAGATGAGTCTGACACCCCAGTTTCACCCTTGGGGTCCACATGATGAAATGCAAGAATGACAGTTCCCACAAGCTGTCCTCTCACCTCTGTGCCCAGCCCCATAGATAAATGCCATTTTAAAAACTAAAATTCTTACAGAGAATTGTTTGCCTGTTGTTCCCAATTTTCCATATGTATTGAAGTCTTAGTTCCCAATGTGACGGTACTTAGTGGTGGGGCACAAGTACCCCACTCCTTTGGGACATTTAGGTTAAGGCGAGGCAATGAAGATATAGCCTTCATGTTGGGATTAATAGTCATATAAAAAGGACAAGAGATATGTAATCTACATTTTAATTCTCTCTCTCTCTCTCTCTCTCTCTCTCTCTCTCTCTCTCTCTCTCTCTCTCTCTGTGTGTGTGTGTGTGTGTGTGTATACATAAATACCAAGGAAAGGCCATTGGGCATTTAACAGTACCAGGGCCCCTAACTAGAGGCTGACCCTACTGGACCCCAATCTGAGATTGCCAGAAAGCCTCCAGAAGCGGGAGAACTGAAGTCATGGTGTTTTCTTATAATAGTCGTGCAGGGGTGAGGCCGAGGGACTGCTGTCTGTGAGGCTGCCTAAGAAGAAGAGGCCCACAAAGAACCCCAGGTCACCTGGCAGACAGGGCTGCTTAGTGTACACAGGGAGCTGTAGTTCCCATTAGGGAGAGGTCCAGCCTGCTCTGATGAGGACCTCAAGGGGTGGGGGTGGGGGGCT